TGCTGCACACCTTCATGTGAAATCCTATAGTCGAAATCGGATCATAACCTATCACCCTCAGATACCGATTGTGATCCTGAGTACTTATGACCGACTATTTACCGAAAGAACGGCCAATCTGTGAACTTTAACTATGAAACTTAGAGAACGTTCTTTTTGCTGCACACCTTCATGTGAAATCCTATAGTCGAAATCGGATCATAACCTATCACCCTCAGATACCGATTGTGATCCTGAGTACTTATGACCGACTATTTACCGAAAGAACGGCCAATCTGTGAACTTTAACTATGAAACTTAGAGAACGTTCTTTTTTGGTACCATTTCTGGTGTCAAATATTTTTTATTTCGTAAAATAGGTTGATTTTAATATAAATATTTCGAACACGAAGCAAAATATAATAATGAAACTAAGTACACCTAAGATCCATAATTTACGTGAATAAGATACCAAAGCTGATTGTGATCCCTTCAAATGACGAATAATTAATGCTTAGTTCTTACACAAAATTTTTTAGTATGAAGTTTTGTCACGACCTGTAGGTATTTTCCCGTCAAATTGCTAGAGTATTAAATGTTCGGTAACACCCGAACTTAGCCCATCCTTACTTATTTTTTGTAATGTTGTACTTGTTGTAATGTAATATATATATCTTTTTTGTTTTCTGTTCTTTTCATTCATTTTGTGAAAATAAATGTCTTTTTTCATTATTGATGGCTTTTATTTATGTATAGATAATTAAACATTTGTTTCAGCTTCTTTATAGATAAATACAAACAAAATTTTTATAGGTTTCTGAATTTCTTCATACAACTACATACTTTCATAATCTTATTTTACCATAGTTTAATAATACTCATGTGGAATAGAAGGATAACACATAAATATGTGAATCTTCTCACATCATAAACATGCGTGCTTACATTTCCTTATTTATGCCGCAAAAATTCTGAAAAGGATTAAATACAAATAAAATTGTCATTGATTTTTTCTTACGCCGTACGCAGTACAAACGCCCAGTATTTCGAGGTGTATAATATATTAGTTCATAAAAATTGTAAAAGTATTAATGAATATATTATATAAAAATCCATACTGATATTATAAATGTGAATGTAAATATGTTTGTTACGCTTTCACGTCGAAACTATGTAACCGATCATCATGAAACTTTGTACACATACATGCCATATGGTATTAGAAAGGATTATTATTAAAAATAAATTATATATTTTTGTTAAAAAAATTATTTTGCCAGACTCTGTACTCGCTCGAAGGTATAAGTCTGCAAAAGTTGCCTACAAACTCAGAGAAGCTGAGGCTGGGCACTTAGGAATCCTCGCACACTTTGACTTCATTCCGAAATACTTAGAAAATGATGCAAAAGGACAGGGGGCGGAAAGTTGGGAGAGTATATTGTCAAACCTGAAGTCTGGTCAGTTAATTTCGACATAGGGATGCTGTTTTAAAACTTATGTTTTAAATTTATTACTGTATATTATTGTATCATAAAGGCAGAAATGTTATCTCAATAAATTTAGTAAATAGCTTATCATATGGAGCCCCTCCTGCGAAAATAAGGGAGCCGACTTTATATCGATTTTTTTTTGTACAAGTATATAACTAAACGCATCTACGCCAAATATTTCAAAACTCAGTTCAGTATAACTAAAATATATGGTACAATGCAAACGACACATAACCTTCTTTGTATTCGAAAATAACGTAAGCGTCATGAAATAATTAACTGGAAGTAAAAAATAAGGAAGTAATAAATATAATAATGAATAAGTGAAAACCGAATAATTTAAAGTATGAACGAACAAACATAGTAATAACACATGCTTATCCCATAGTCCCGTTGCGTTTCACTGAAATTTTTCGAGCAGCATCCTCAAAATATTCTACACAGCAAAAATAGTGGGTTATTTTGTTCTAGAAAGCATATAATTTCCGGGAAAATCAAATTAATATTATAAAAAACCTTCTCAAAAACAAGTCCCTCTTCCATTTATTATAAAACTATCTTCTCGCGTGCGAATTCCCTAAATAAAAACCAAAGATTATTAACAAAAACAAATAACGGTTACATTGTTAAATTTGTTACATTTTGAAATTTTTCGACAAACAATATTATCTGCCGAAATAATTTTTTTCACAAGACCTAGAGAATATATTTTGTTTTAAAGCGTAACAAACATTCTGTTTTTAAATACAATAATTAATCATTAAATTTAATTAGTGTTATCTTATATCAATAGGTAAATGACACGAATTTTTACTTATATTTTTGAAAGTTTAATATTTGTGGTAGCGGTAGTGGTTCGTCTGTTATACGCGAACTAGTCCCTCAGTTTTTGAGCCATCGATCTGAAACTTTGCACACGTCCTTCTTTCCCCAAGAAGCTGTTGAAATCGTCGGTATCGGACAACTATAGCTTATAGCTGCCATATAAACTGACCGAACATTTACGCTATAAGAAATGTACCTGACCTGAAAGGTATTATAGCTTCGGTGCAGCCGAAGTTAACGTTTTTCTTGTTTTATTGTGCTTTTAGTAAGATAAGCTAGAATAGAAGAGTTTTAACAGTAGAAGATCGCAAAATTTTATTGGCATTTTTCTGTTTATGAAAGGAAAAATAATAGTTTTTAATACGATTAACATGATGTACTTACCACAATTTCACGGATTTTCAGTTTAAAAGTTATTTGCATATTTAGAACTAGTTGAAAGTGCTTTTGGTGTTGAACGCATATATAAATGATTCAAATCCAAATAATGATGAGAACTATTAAATGAAGTGATTTCATGACCTTTTATCTTTGGTAGCAAATTTTCGCTATATTGTTTATTTGTTTCAGAGGTAGATTTTTGAGATGTCATATTATTTTTTCTTGTAAACTCATTTGACGGTGGGGATGAACAATAGGAGTTTTTTGGAAAAGCATTGTGGCGTGTCTTCGGGGTACCACTAGTTTTATTGTACCGTAAGCTTTCATTGTAACTAGCACCGCTACTAATGCCACTACCACTAAATCCGCTGTCCAAATCTTCTTCATCAACTTCCACATTATTAAACGAATTTTGGCAACTATCTTTTAGGTCCATCGATTGAAAAGTCTCTGCAACATCTTCAATGCTTGTACTTGAAAATTTATTGCGATGACCTGATAAAGATAAGGAAGATAAACCTCCTCCAATCAAACCAAATTTACGTTTCTGAGGTAATATTTTATTTGAGGTCACTACAGCCAACGACAAACCGCTTCCAGCCCCTTGACAGTGCACAATACTTTCTGCAGTTTCCCTTAAGTTGCTTGAGGTCAGTTTAGGTGGCATAATTAAAGCTTCCAGTGATAAATTAAGCTCTTCTAATACTCGGAAGTGATTGCGTTGTACACGTAAAATTTCTTCTTTCACGCTATTTGCAGATATTGAAATACGATTGTCACAAAGTACATTTTTTACACTTTTTTCGTTAACTTCTTCATACAAATTTTCCATTGTTCCATAATGGGTTGTATAAGTATGACGATCGTCCAAGGAAAAATATGCTTTATCGAACCTACTTGCTTTAGAACGAACCCCTTTTAACAATATATTTTGCCGAGAATTCATCTGTTCATTCTTACATTTTCCTATTATTTCTTTCTGAGAGATATTTGTATGACATTTCACTACTCGAGGCTCATAATAAGCGTACGAATAAACGTGATCTACTGAATCAACAGCGCCCAGGGACTCAATATCTTTTGATGTTCCATTGAAAGGGTTTAAAATTTGCACATCATCTGTTTCTTCTTTAATCGAGGCAACAACGGTGGCAGCAAGTCCATAATTTAAACATGGAGATCGAGGAGGATCACCTGTAGGTTCAAATCTTTCCATTGTCGCAGTGATATTTTTACGTGACCACTTCACCTGTCATAAAAACTTTTTAAGTAGCCTATTATGACAACCTTTAAGAGCAGGTACACAGAGATTTACCTGGTTTCCATTTTGCACGTTCCAATTGCTTCGACCTCCGTACCATTTATGACGATCTCTTAATATAATATCAGCCCCTACACAAGTATAATTGCCTTTTCCACGATTAATAGTCACCAATTCAGCGATATCATATACAGGTGTGGAGTTTGGAGCAATGTCCGAGTGAGTGCCGGCATTTATGTCTTCAGAAAAAATTTCATTCTGCATTTTTACCTTGAAAAAATTTATAGGGATATACTAAGAAAATTATATTATAGCATAACCCATTGTCTTATTCATATACACACACAATCGCTAAATTCGGATATAACCGAAAGTTTCATAACCTCGCAATTTGCAAGACACAAGACTGGGAAAATATTTCCAGGCGACGGTAAAACTTTATTTTAACAAAATTGTAACATTTAATTGAATGTTGGGTCTTTCAATATGATAACGACCCGAAACACACATCTAAATTGGTAAAAGTTTATCTTGATTGGCCGACTCTATCATGTTGTTGTTGTTGTTGTAACGGTTACCTAGTCCCCGTTTGGGTGATAAGCTCCAGGTTCGTTGTCGCCGAGGTCATCTAACGGGAGGCTCAAGAAACGAGCAATTTCGACGGGGTTGGACCATAGGGAGGCCGACTCTATCATCGGACTTAACTGAAATCGAGAACCTGTTCAGTATTTTAAAACAGACAATTTTAGATCTACGTTTCCGCAACCAAGAAGAACTTTTTAAAACTTTAAACACGGCGTGGAGCAACATTCCGCAAACCCCAATCGGAATATTGGTAAAATCAAGGCCACGTAGGTGCGCTGACCACAGATTTTAGATATTGATTATGAAGTAGTTTTGGGTGGGCTTTAGTTTAGCATCCCACGATTTCAGGGTTAAGAAACTTATAATTCTCGAGATATTTGCATTTTAAGTTGAAAATTTCACAAATTTCATTTTACAATTTCTCGATGTATGGTTATCTTTTCTTTTATATTATGCACTTATTATACACTAACTTTTCACTTCAATGTTTCTACATATTTATTTTATATCAAATATTTAAGTATTTGCTTTAAATAAGCATTTAATTTTTACAAAATTTTCGGGTGGGCTTCAGTTTAGCATCCCACGATTTCAGGGTTAAGAGGGGTATGGTTGGATAGAG